AGAGAAGGGGAGGAGGGGGCCTGTCGGGTGTTTAAAAAAAAAAAAAAAAAAAAAAAAAAAAACCACTTACCAGGGCGGACCAGTGGGGAATGGGAGAAACCCTGTTCACCCGAACACCTCCCGAAGTAACAAGGAATAACAGCCATAAGTTTGAGAGTAGGTTCAGGCTGGACCTTAGAAGACACTATTTCACAGTCAGGGCGGCTAGGATCTGGAACCAACTTCAAAGGGAAGTAGTGCTGGCTCCCACCTTGGGGGTCTTTAAGAGGAGGCTTGACAATTATCTAGCTGGGGTCATATAAGCCCAGTATTCTCTCCTGCCCAGGGCAGGGGGTTAGACTTGAAGATCTACTTAGGTCCTTTCTGATCCTACATCTATGAATCTAATCTGAGTGTCCTGCTGGGCCTGGCCACATCCTTCCTCAGCTCATCACTGTGGAAGGAAAGTGAGGACTCCTCTAGCACCCTCCGACTTCTAGCCTGAGCCACTGCAGGCATGTGCCTGCATTTCTGGGATGTCTGTCTGGTAACGAACTGGTTCAGCCTAGCCAGGTTAGACTAACCTGCAAAGATTGAATCAATTCAGGCTCAGGCTTTTTGAATGTCTGCCCCTAGCCAAAGTCTATCACGAAGTGTCCTATGTCTAAAAGTTGAAAAACACTGCACTAGAGGACATATTTGCTTAATTAAAGTCCAAATAGTATTTACTGGAAGCCATTTATATTTATTCTTGGAGTTCAAAAAGATCTTTAGATGTTGTGGTATTCAAAACATTCTGCAGGAGCATGTATGAGTGTTTAAAATCACTGGAAATTGAAATGAAAGAACAAATATTGATAGCAAATTTAAACTGCACACTTATACCCCCAGTTTGCATGCACTTCTTTTGCCCTACAAAAGAACACAGGCCAGGCCAATAAATGGCCTATTGCCAAGCATAACTGATCCACATATTTTCAAAGCACACTTCCATGTTTTTTTGGGAGCCCAAAAAATGTACCTAAACATGTTTGCACACATCATGGGCATGGGCTGGTGAGGGCTTATGGCTGAGTATCATGAATGGAGTCAAGCATCTCCATTCCTCCCAGAATTTGGTATATAAACTATACTGAGGGTAGAACCTCTTGCCAGAATTTTTTACTGGTGCGCTTAGGAGGCCGTCCTGAACTGAACCACATCTTCCCAAATCCCATTTCAGTGTCTTAATCCTAAAACTGAACTTTCCTCTGAGCAGGGAGATAGCAGTGAAGTAATGTAGGGGTTGTTACACTCCAACCTTTTAAATGCCAAACATTATAATTATGGTAACAATAACGAATTACTTACGATGCTTCTACAACTACAGCCACTCCAGCAGGCTTCAGAGCCTCAGTAATTGCCATGGCAATTTGTTTGGTAAGTCTCTCTTGAACTAGGGGAAAAAAAGAACAGGGATTTTACACACAACTAATCCCAACACTCCTTATATACTGTGGAAGGAATGTATTTCTAGTGTACTCTGAATACATTCCATCACATCCTGACTCGTACTAGCAAAAATAAATGATCTCTGCTAGAATGTTTTATTGTTCTCTCTTCAGCATGAACTTGCAGTTGGTGATAAGTGCTGGATAGACCGCTCCAGAACCCTGAAATCTGGCTTTTATCAAGTGAACTATTAAAAACTCTCCAGACTGCCAAGCTAACATGACCTCCCTTACTCCCTGTGAAAACAGTCCAAAATCATTCACTGTTGTCCTCTTCCACTAACTCTCATTGGTAGCCCATGCACTAAACACTATACCTACTTCCTCCAAAAAAAGGGAATGAATAAATTTCCCATGGTATACTCATGAACTTCTCATAATATTGACCCCTCTGTTACTTGGTAAGCACTGAGGTCCTAGACCTAGAGTACCATACTGATGTGAACTACCTGCTTTAAAACTTCCAGTGAAGTTAACAAGGGTTTGAGATATAGGGATCAATTTGGAGGGTTCCAATTTGATTCGGAGAGATTAAAGGGTCTCCTGATTTGATTCGGATTCAAAGATTTGGCCACTGAATCAGGCCAAATCGAATCAGGGACTGAAGCTTTGCACAGCCCTAATATACATCTTGCAGCACAGTAAGGTTAATACTGTTTTCATTTGATGTTTTCTGCTCGTTAATCCTTAATAGCATTAAAATGAATGCCCCACTGGTTGAGTTACCAGATCAGGAAAGTACTTAAATCTATGACCAAGCAAGTTTGTGATCTTCATTAACTTCAGCTGGACTGCTCGCTTTTTAAAAATTTGGTATGTGCTTAAGTACCTTGTGTAGCCACCTTACTTGTTTAACATTATGGCCCTATAGACCAAATGAATGGAGGGGGGCAATTCATACTTGCCTAGATAGGACCCCAGGGCCCCACATTCCCATCCGACCCCACATGCCCCAATTGCCCAGTCCCATGCACTGGGATTGTGCCCTGTGCTGCCTCGCATGCCTGATCTAGAACACAGAACCAGGGCCCCGCAGGAATCCCCATAGACTCATTTGGAGCCCCAAAGGCCAGATGGACCTGGCACTGGGGGCTGGATCTGGCTTGCAGAGCAGGTGCTGAGCACCCTGACCTAAAACATAGTTCAGTAGAACAAAGATATATTTAAAAACTGATACCAACCTTGCAGTCTTCGACTAAAGATTTCAACAATTCTGGAAAAAGAGTTGTAGCATATGAATATGAAATATTTCATTTTATTCAGACAATAAACTCTCAGCTTTGCTTTGTAGACTTTGAGTATTAACAAGGGTATCATCTTGGCTAGCAAGGTTAAAACTACTTTAGTGTAAGTGACTTAACTACATAATATGAAATTAGTTTAAATACAGCTGACATCCAAGCCATTTTAAAGTAACTTTCATATAGTATCATAAAAGAAAACTCTACAAAGAATACAGTTATTAGTTTCAGCATTTCAGAGTAAAACATCACATTCTCTAAAATGTACATGATAGTTAAGCACATATTTTATTCAGTGTACATTAAAAATGGGCTTAGAATCCTGCATAGCTGGTATAGTTAAAAAAAAAAAACCCACCTTCCTGATAAAACACTGTCAAAACCAAAACCAAACAAAAATAAAAAAGGTAATATTTAAACTGCCATGAGATTTATTTTTAGTGCGTGGATTTTTATCTTTTGTCTGTGCAACATTTATAAAGCACCATCATAGTGCAGAAAAAGTAGATTGTGAATTACAACAGGGTCACTACCAAAATTTAATAGTATTCTACTTTTAACAAGTGGATTGCTCTTTTAATACACCAAAGTTACCTAAACTCAGCCCCCTAAAGAAAAGAGTCACTTTTTTTTTTTTTTTTTAATGACATAGAAACAACTCTATATAAAAAAATCACCTATATGAAAACTTGCACTTTGATGTATGGTAATAAAGTTATCAGTTAAATCCAACAGATGAATCAGCATGGCTTCCAGCCAATAGCCATATAGCTTCCCCACAATTTGTTCTTAGTTAAGCAGATCAAACATTCAGCTCTTCAAGCAACCCCCCAGCCTCCAGAAAAAGTTGGGCAATAAGATGGGCACTGAATTGTGCCCACAACAAACCTACTTGAGACTAAAGTGGGGAGTCAGTTGTAAAGCTAAGAGCCTCTCACTCAGAATGTTCTCCCATCTTCTAGTGAGTAATCAAAAGTGTTCTCAGTTCACAGATTGAGAGGTCTGAGTGGGAGAGGCTAGAAGGTGGTTAGCACATCTGTGGTACAAGAGTACTGCAGTCCTAGGCCACAGTGTTGGCTGTGGAGCATTAACCCTGCTACTGCTGTACAGTGGGAGAAGTAGTGCTAGGTCTCTGTCTGAAAACATCTCAGTACGCAGCTCCTTACTAGGCTGTGTCCTCAGGGTAGGGCTTGGCTCTTAGACCTTTGTGACAACATTCAACAAAGTATTAAGTTGTAAACATAAACATACTTACCTTGCAAGTTTGCTTAATCCAACCACTTTCTTTCTTGGTAAGTATCCAATATGTACCTACAAACATGAAGAGCAGAAACTTAAGTATAAAGTGATTAATACACAACCTAATTCCAGGGAGAGCTGAAGAGTTGGGGTTAGATTACAGGTTTGAGTTTGCTAGCGCTAACTGTAAGGAATGTTTGTAGTGTTAAGGTTATCATGAGCTAAAGATCTGTGGCATGTTAAAGGTCTCTAGCATGCATTGCTCAGACTGGCCATTTGAGGGCTGGTGAGTAAGGGTGTGTCTGAGCCAGGTGGAAAAACAAGAACACGGGCCATGGAAGCTTATGTAACATTTAGTTACAGGAAACCCTCGCTATTCGTGGATTTGCGATTTCTAATATTCCTGCCACTGCCAACAAGTGCTGTTCAAGAACGCAGACAGAACACAGATTTCCCCATTCACGGGGATCTCTAGAATGTATCTCCCATGAATGGTGAGGGTCTCCTGTATTTAGAATTGATTTTATTTAAATAAAATCAATAACAAGAGACTGTAGACTCTCACTTGTTTCAATAAATTGTGACTGGTGAGAGAGGACTGGGCTTTTTGGGGCCCCCTAGCACGGCCAGCCCCTTTGCCTTGAGGCTAGAATAGGCTGCAAGTGGGGCTGTCCAGTGGGGGGGTGGGGAAGGGATTGGTGTAGGTCTGATGGGGAGGCTGAGGAGCCCATCTACAGTTCCTTCTTGGTGGAGGTTGTTGGTTCTGGTACTCCGAGCCCCTGGTAACCCAGCCCTTTGCAGTTCCCTCCATGGTCTCACCAGCTGCCAGCAGAGTTCAAGAGGATACAAAGTTTGCTCTTGGAGTAGGAAAGACTGGGAATGGTGCATCCTGGGATGCTAGAGGACTCTAAATTGGTAGTTTTCTCAGTTGAAATGCTCAGAAGTTCACTTAGAACTAGCTAGTTAACACCAATCAATGATAATCGTCCCCTGAAGTAGTGCAACTTTAAAATGCCTAAAGAGTACTTGGCACTAATTAACAAACCTGAACCTGCAATCTTCCAAATTTTAGGTACTCTTAACAAGAGCTACTTGCAATGATAAATCTCATCCTTATATAAACTAAGGACCCCAAGGTGCATTTTGCAGTGGACAGATGGAGTGCCACACCTGCATGGAGGTCCCATCAATGGGGATAAATACAGGCTCAGCCATCTGTATACTCTGTATAAATTACAGGAACATGACTCCAGGAGAATGTCTACATTGCCTCCTGGGCGAGACCCTGCATGCCACCAAAACATAAGCCCCACTTATTATCTATTCCATACCTGTATGCTCTCTGACTCTAGAGCCTGAGCACAGTGCCAGGCTATGCGCTTGGGATCATGCCGAGCTGTCTACTCTGCATATTTGTGAGTCTAGGGGCATGCAGGAGGGTATAGGTGGTAATGTTGACAAACTAAAAGCCCCAAGCTGAAGATTCTGAGCGTGTGCTTTCTCCTCTGTATGTCAGTAGAACTTTCAGTGATTTCAGTGAGAGCAGGATTGGACCCCCTAATTTGGGCAAAGGTCACCATGAAGACAGACTTGCAGGATCCATATCCTGTCAGTGGAGAAGGTAAAAAAGAAAAAAGTGTAGCAGGTAGATTTAAAAAAAAAAAAAAAAATTTTTTTAAATCAGATACTTTAAAAATTCAATAGGATTTTTGTTTAAATTACATATGCATGTCTTTCCACAGACACCTACTTAAACTAAATTTGAAATTACTACAGCTGTGACCTCACTAAACTTACTATAATTTATTCAGACCGTTTAAATTAAATAAAAATTAATATTCAAAGGGTGCATCTACACATTCATTTTACTGCAAGTTGACTAATTAGTTCCGCAGTAAAACATAACTGTCTACACGAGTGCTGGTATTAGGGCACAGTAGATTAATTAACTCCACCGTAAATTAGTACGGTCCTCAACAGTACTATCTTATGGTAGAGTTATTAACTCCCCCAAAATGCTCACATAGATAGTAACTGGAGCTGGCTATGGCACGGCAGTGTTAAAGTCCAAGGGCTGCCTGCCACCTGCTCCACGCTTTAGGACCCTCATGCCCTAGTCAGCCCCTCTGCTGCCCAAGGCTGCCACCTGGAGCTTACCCAAAATAGCTCAACATAAGTCATTAAAAACAAATTAACAACATGGTAAGTGATGTTTCTAACATAATAAAAAGTAAAAATTAAGGGTCTGAATAAAAGTTTTTGCACATAAATGCTTACACGAGTATCCTCCTGGTTAGCCACAAGTACCATATTGAACCGAATTGAATTTAGTTGCAAATCAATGTGATTCAATAGTTACCAAGCAATGAGAATGGATCATTCTTTAGGAAAAATAAATAAGAAGTACAAATGCATAACAAAGCACCCTGTGCTCTGTTACTATCAGGGGCCAGAGCAGCAGCCAGAGAGCCCACAGATGCCTATGGTGGTAATCAAGCAGAGTTGCCCGATTGGGGAACAGGGCCCAGCTGGAGTATATGAGGGCTGGGTTCCTGAACTGCAGGGCAGCAGTCTGTTGCTACGAGCTGAGGAGACAGACATCCAGCTGAGCTGTTGCCTGAATCATCTCGGCGGTAAGGGCTGGGACTATGGGGAAGGAGGAGGTCCCATGGTCCTGGGCATGACCAGAAACTGTACCCTGCTGAAAAACGGTGGTCTGGTGGAGCTACCTGTGGCTGGGTAGCTCCCCAGAAATACCAGGCCAGTTACCTCTCTAGTGAAAGGTGGGTTTGATCAGCCACTTCAAGATGTGGCAGGAGAGACAGGAGAGCGGCTAGCCCAGATACAAGTGGGTGGGCCTATAGTGAGATGATCAGCCCCAGGACACCCACTTGTTACAAAATGCAAAATAAGATTATACTAGATTGCGGAACTCTCTCTTTGCTGGTTTTAAAATCACAATTAAAGCGAGCAATATAAATCACTTTGATTTAAAAATCAATCCACCTGGCCATGTTGATTACATTTCTATGCATAACATGTAGGATTTTAGTAAATCCTTACTAAAATTCTACTTATTCTGAATATAAATGCAATAAATATCTATATTGCTGCACATTCCACCTAGCAGGCTTCCAGTATATAAGCATCCAAGGCATAGGAAGAGACAGTAACAGGCAGGGAAGAGTGAAGCTGAAGGAGAAAGAAAAGATTGTACAAGAGACAAGGAAGAGGGACTATTCAGATCTTCATCCATACAGTAAGAGTTTTGTTTGTGCAACAAATTTCAAGATCCAGCCAATGAATATAATGGATTTTCAAAGCGGTTTTGTCAGGTTTTGCTTGACATATTTTTGTCAAGCTTGATTTGAGGATATTTACCCCCTCCGAGGTCTTCTCTATACTCTTTATGCAAGCAAGCCTTCTACTACAGTCACTCCAGTGCCAGATTTAGGCATAAGCTAAGCAAGCTGCAGTTTAGGGCCTCACATTATGAGGGGCCTCTACACCAGCCCCTGGGCCACGAAGGGTTGGCTCATAGACCAGAAGTACCATGGACCAGTAAAATCCCAGTCCCACAGAGGCCGTGATTCCTCCTGCAGCAGCCACAGAGGAGGCTTGAGCCCACCCACTCTGCCTGGAGGTATATTTACTTGTGTTCTGGCCAGAAATTCCAGCCATGGGGCTCTGCATGGTGGTCTGCAGTTTGCTGGGCCACAGCATAGAACATTTGGAAACCCCTAGTTTAGAGCCCCACCCTATCATAATTCAGGGCTGAGTCACTCCCATGGACTTCAATGGAGATTTTTCTGTTTAAGGAGTGCAAGAGAAAATGTCCCCAAATGCCACTCCAATTCCCTTTCTTTGCCTGATCTGCTGCTCTGTTTTCTGGGCATCTGTGCATGTACTCCGGGGAGGTGGGGGGGGGCGGTGTTTTAATTAGAGTGGCTCTTGGGAACCACTCTAACGTGCCCACAGCATCTCATGTATTCAGCGTCCCACATTTCAAAATGGTGATGAGGGATCTCCAACTAAAGCTTGTTCAATTAAATCAAGTCTGCTCCGATGTGTTCCAATGAGAATGCCTCGGAGCATGTGTAAAAGTGTCCTCTGCTCCCTGCCCATCATTTTCTCTGCTTTCTACTCCTTGCCCTATTTGCTATGTGCAACACACAGGGGTTGCCCTCTATAATAGTCTACTTGTTTTTAAAAGAAAACCAAACATGAATATAGAGAGAGAGTATACAGGTGCATATCTAGCCTGCCTTCCGACTAAATCATACAGTACTGCACTAGGCATGAACTACTCATTCTAGTTTTGAATAAAAAACTGTTTAGTTTCCTTTTGTTTAGCACACCACACACACACAACCTCTAAAATGACAAATATTTAACCTAAGTTGAATAGCTACCTTGCCAAAGAAAGGTACCAAGTGGTGCTCACAAAGGGAAAACATGTCAATATCCTTAACGATCACCATTTCATCATGATCTTCATCAAAGATTGCACCATTGAGTACATCTGAAAGTACAAGATGAGCAGTTAATGAATGAAAAACTTTAACACAGGATTCTGCATATATACAGCAACAAATGAGTACTTCTATAACCACTGAGCAACATCTGATGTGTGACAAACATAAGCAAAATCCAAACCCTTTAAAAACAGTTTCCATACAAGCATGTTCTTAACAGAGAATCAAGAGAAGGTGAAATCCTAAATTTGAACCCATTCCTCTCTTCATCTACAGTCATCTGGGAAAGTTCAAATCCTGATCTGGATCAAACCAACAAGATCAAAAGAGTGGCCTTTTATTTGTAAGGATGGACACATTCCAGGTGCTCATTTAGCAAAGCAGAAGAGGCACTGAATTTAGAATGCAAGATTTAGGTAGCTTTGCAGCCTCAAAGCACTATACATATTGGAGTTCAGATCTCGCACTTTGGGCGAGTGTCCTAATCATTGGACTACAGAGAATGCCTTCTCTTCTGGCAGTTTTGTGAATCTAGCCTTTTAATTCTTTATTTTTCTTAAAAGTGCACAAGATGATAAGGCTTGGTTTCAAATTAACAGAACATTTCATGCTGAACAAGCTAAAATGTTTCATTTCCTTGTTTGAGTGAGGAAAATTAGTAGGCTATTTCAAGTCCATCTGTTTGATGCTTTGATTTGGACAAATGGATACAAAATGAATTATAGGCACAGGCCTAGGTCACAAGACCATTTCATCACGAAAGAGAAAAAAGAAACCCCCAGAATGCCTGGGTTTTATTCTTACATCCATCTCTTAACTGGTACATAACTTCTACCTGACTACCCAGCCCCTCAGTTTTTACATCTGAAAATAGGGACAATAACAGAAACCTCTCTCCCCAACAGAGAAATTTATAATGATTAGTTAATATCCTCTTGAAAAACTATTATGAGACTTTACAAACTCAGGTATCAAATGTGTGTGCATCATGATAATGCTAGAACTTTAAAACAAACAACCAACCAACCAACCCACACATACACAGAGAATGCTAAGGAAGTTTCCTTTGCCTATGAAAAGCCAAATATGACTCACTCAAAGCAATGAGAATTTTGCAAGGCTGAATCAATGTTTATAAAATGCTTTGAAAATGCAAACACTGTTGGTACATATCAAGCAAGCAGACACTTTCCTGGGGAGGGCAGAGGGGTGGCGGAGGGAGAAGAACAAAGGGGAAAGTGCCAGATCTACTGAATGGGCTGATCTAGTATCTGATTTCATTTCTCATCACTGTTGTATGTTCACTTTTCTAATTACCATCAATTTATGATTCTAGCTCCTTGCAAGGAAAGACGATCAGGCCACATCCTTGAACAGAGCAGAGACCCTTGGCCTAGCCAACACAGCCATTCACCCAGGCGTGCCACCCCACAGGTTACCATGCAGACATGGCAAGGCTGGCCTGAAGCCTCCAACAGGGCCTAACCCCCCACCCATTCCCTGTAGTGGCCAGTCAGAATCAGCTGATCATCCACTTCCCCTATATAAACCTCTGCACAACAGGGATCAACCTGATCTATGACTGCCACCAAACATCCAAGCCCTGTGGCCAGATGACATGGTCCCATGCACTGGATTGACTCTGTGCTAGATTGGGCCCATGGACTGATCCCGTGTACTGGATCCAGCCCACAGACTGACCCTGCACCATTCATTCAGCCTCTAGCCTGGAAAGGTTGGGCACCACTTACCTATACTATTTAATTACTGTGACCCGAGATTTTCTGTATGTTAGAGAAATCCTTTAAGTTATATTTCCCCTTTAAATAAGATGAAAATGAAGCTAGGACCTGGCCCATGACTTGGTTATACATACTATATTAAGGTGTCTTGAGTGACACTGAGAAGTGTTTTGACAAATAGGTCACATCCATTTTTCACAAAGCTTAGTCTAGCAAGATACATTATATGCACAAAATTTAGAGTTGATAAAGAAGGCATGGTGATTATCATGTACCCATTCAACCTGAGGTGCAGAATACACTTCCTGCCATCACTACCAAAGATCAAACCAGTTGAATTTGTCCAGGTGACATGAATCCAGAGACATTATCAAGATAGGAATTCTGTAATATATATATAAAAACACTACATAAAAAGTACCTACATCTCCACCCTGAGAGTGAAATCACTAGGTGGAGTCACTCAAAATACCACACAGCACTCTGAAAATCCTGTAATACTTAAATACCTATAAAGAACTGTTAGCTTACTTGAAAATAGTTTATATGAAACTGCTTTGCCAGATTATTCAGTGCCATTTTAAGGTAAAACATTCTTGTGGGTAACCTATTCTTGATTCTTCAAGTTGGTTTTGCATCTACAATCATCTACATATTGCCAAGCCCTGGAAACAGACATACCCTTCTTTTGCAGCATACCTTTCCAAGGTATCCATAATTCATTTATGATCTATACCAGATGAAGCAAGAGGACAAAAGGTTAGATGTATGGAGATAGCAAATTAGATTCACAGAAAATTCATATATAATCTATCACAAAAGTCACAAAAATGTTTTGTAACTACAGTTTAACAACTACAGAATACTGGTTCAGGCAATAGCACAGTTAACCAACCCCAAATGTCCGGTGCAGGACCAACCCAGGGACCAAAGCAATCCCCCCTGTAAACTGTCAGAGCAGCAGAATCAACACGACAGCAGGATTGCGGACTAATACCATTCTTGTTCCTTTCTGTCTAACAGCAGTGCAGTGAGATGATAGGAGCCTATAGGTGCACTGAGGAAGATCAGTACCAGCACAAAGAAGTCAGGTATCTGCTCTTCATGGTTGGTAAAAGTAAATGTAGAACAAATTAAACATACTCCTGGCCATGGCAGATCTAGGATTTCAAAGAGTGGGGGGCAGATGGCATGGTTCATCAAATATAACACACATTTTTCTCTAGGTAAAAAGAAACTAGAAGCTTTACTAGTATGCAAGAGGCCCAAAGGAAAAACAAATATAGTTTTATTGGAATGTGCACTAAGTTGCTATAGCATGTAGTATGTATAAAAACACAACACACTAGACAAAAATAATGAAAAAGTGATGTTTCTTTGGGTCCTGTTGTCTTTAGAATTAAATACACATCTCTTTCAGATTCATAAAACAAAATCTGGCCTTCTTGAGCATCTTGGCAGTGCATCCAATGCTTCACTGAAAGCGATTGCCACACCTGAGTTAACAATTCCACACCGAGTTGATGTTTTTAGCTAGAGTTAAAATGTCTGCAGGGCTGTGAAATAGGAGCTATGTTAAGAAAAACAGCTAATAGAAAAATTGCAAAAGAAAGAATGGCTTGATTAGTGGGACATCAAGATCATTTTTTTTTTTTTTTTTTTTTAAAAGAGAGAGAGCATCATTAACACCTGTGGCATGAGAAGGGATCAGATAGATTACAATGAGCCAGGAAGTCAGGTGACTCCCTCACTGCTGCCTGAATAAAAATGCTGCCACTCCCAGGCAGTTGGTTTTAAACTGTGTGGACCAGGAGTCAAAAGAGCATGCAAATGTACCTCCTTTGGATCCCCTCCCCCTCCCAATTCCTGGCTGATGTTACCAATGTATCTGGGAAAGGGCAACCTGCTGTAGAGACCTTGAAGCAGCTGACAACTTCACAAACTGTATTATGAATGAATGAATACAAACCTTGTGTAAATCATTGACTTTTTGCTCTGAGCAATTTTTAGTTTCCTGGGCAAGCATATTTTTATTACAAAAAAAAAAAAAAGTGCAAAATTGGAGCCACATGGTTTAGAAGAATATGGAAGCAAGTGTGAAGACAGTGCACTTCTATTACAGGCAAAAGCACTGTGTGGATGGGTTCATGCATCTCTTTATCTTGTGCAGGTCTGAGTTCACTAATGCTGCTGACCAAATAATAATCCAGCAATAGTGAAAAAGCTATGGATTTTCAGTGATACTTAAAAAGGAACAACTGGCAGGTTAAAGGGAGTGCTGATCACAGCAAGGTGGCTTTAAAAAAAAAAAAAAAAAAAAAGAGAGAGGACAATGCTCATTCTCTAAACATTTAGGAGAATCTTGGTATAAAAAAAAATTATTTATCAGAGGGGAAGGGTCCCCAGTAAACAAAATTCTTTATCAAAACCTGTACTTTAAAAGCTACAATTGTTTTCTGTGAAACCCGACACCATTCCATGGCACTCACTTGTCAGAGAGAAATCCAAATACGAAAGATCAGAAAGATGAATTTGTCAGCTCCCATCACAGCTATTAAGATACAGCATAAGAGAACCATGCAGAAAAGAGAAACAGGAAGGTAGAAGGAGGGAAAGATGAAATGAAATAAGTGTCAAGAGTTGAAAGAAATATTTAAGTACCTCAGAATAAAATTAAACAATGTAATATTGGATCTAAACCTTCCAACAAACACAGAAGCGCCTGGAACAGTAGCAATCAAGCTTAGTTTTATTTTAGGAATAAACTAGGTTCACACATCTTGGGTCTGCTAGTTCTCCTGTTGCCTCCGAGTTATTTTTACATGTGCGACTAGTGCTGACACTAAATACATCCACCTGCACAAATGTTCGCACACTCCCTACTTTGTTTTACAAAAGCCTGGTGACAGCGACTGCTCCCACTCAAAATGTAGTTACTATGCAAGTAGAGACAGTATACGCACAATTGCCCAGCCTCCTGTCACTTGTCCTCCTCCCTTGTTCTTCTGTTGCCTGTGACTTCACAATTTGCACAGTGGTGGTGCAGAGGAGTCCCGGTCCTGGCACAGGACACGGCTGTGCACACATGGAACATGAGGATGAGCCTTAGCGGACTGCCACATCAAAAAAAAAAATCAGTCCTCTGGTCTCATCCATCTGATCATTCCCTTAACCAGGATCCCTGGTCTATTTCTCAGACTTAAAAATAAATAAATAAATAAAATAAATCCCCAATTTTAGGATTTAAAAAAGTACCCCCAAATCCACATTTTTCTGTGATTAAAATAAAACACTGTTAATATATAGATACATCTAAAGTGGCGTTTCATTTTAATTGTGGAAAAGTTTGGGCAGGCTGTTGGGGGTGAGTGAATCAGGGAAGCCACCCTGCACTTTCAGGGGCCCCGCAGACTCTGTGCTGCCACCGGCTTCATGTCCGGCTGCTCAGCACCCCCACCCACCTCATCCACCACTGACTTCCTCGCATCCAGGGGCAGGGCCCTGCACAGGCTGATTTGCCCTGGGCCCTGCACCCTGCTCCGGTCGCCTCTGGATCTGGGGTTACTTTTAAATCAGAGAAAACCAGGTTCCCTGCTTATAACTAACAAGGGAAATATAGTTTCCCATCTACGTTCTGCCCTGTGCCTGCGACACCTTTCAGGAGCCTGGGAAAAATCCTAGAACACGAGGGCTGGAAGGGACCTCAGGAGGGCATCTTCTCCACCCCCCTGCTCAAAGCAGGACCAGCCCCACCTAGCTCGTCCCAGCTAAAGCTCTGTCCAGCCGAATCATGAGAGGGGAAACTGGACAGTTTCAGAAGTGCCTCTTTCCCAAGTGCAGGTGCCTCTGGGCTCCCCATCTGCAGGGCCCACGCAGTTGGATGCCAAAGTGGGTATTCTCAGGGCAGAGGAAAGGGCACCCCCTAGCTGCGGGGGGCACTCACCCTCGGGGCTCTCCTGGTAGCCTTTAGTGAGGAACTGCATGGCCGTGGCCGCTCTGCGGGGCGTGAGCAGCAGCCCCTGCCGGCCGGGGTCCTCCCCCAGCGCCCTCAGCACCGCCTTGTAGGCGTCCTCCAGCTCCAGGGCGGCGTCCCCCTCGCGGCCCCGCTTGTCCGCGGGCAG